CATGAATTTCTGGAGGATTTTGCCCACTTAGTGGGTGTAATATAATTTATATTGAAGCTCTAAAGTGAAGAGAGCTCACTTATTATGCATCTTGACTTTTGTTCTGATTACTACCTCTAAATACTTCAGAATCTAGTTCAGTGAAGCCGCTTATTCTTTCTAAACAATAAAAAGAATGCTTGGAGAAAGATACCAGAATTCTCTTATTTGTACTTTTTTCCTCATAGTGGTGATGGAAATAAAATGTGCTACACCAAGATCTAAGAAAAGTCATGAAGCACCTGGCATTGTAAAGAAATTATAGTGGGTCTTCCGCCTGTAATCCCAGAGACTTGGTGTAGGCAGAGGCAAGAGAATCAAAAGTTCAAACCAGTCTCAGCAACTCAGTGAGACCCTGTCTCTAAATAAAATACAAAAAAGGGCTGGGGATGTGGCTCAGTGGTTAAGTGTCCCTGGGTTCAATCCCCACTACCAAAAAGATAGATAGATAGATAGATAGATAGATAGATAGATAGATAGATAAAAAGTTATAGAGGGACCACAGCAAACTGATACTGGGAACCTTATGATGGGTGGTTTTATGATTTTCTGATTGATTGGTTGGTGCCAGCGGCTAGCCTTTATATCTGTTGTTTTGGAATTCCCAGCTTTGTTGTAATGCTGGCTATGTAATTGCTAGGGACTGACAGTTTTTAAATGTTTTTCTTTAACTGCATAATATATGGAATTATTTTTTTTCTTCCTGTCTGCTTTATCTTCTTACTTTCCCATCCCCCCCTTTTTTTTGGTGGAAGATTCAACTTTTAAGAGTTCCCTGGCAGTGACTTGGAATGTGGGCTCTGACTCTGCATAACTACAAAGTTCTTTGATGATCTTCCAGGACCTCCTTCTGTCCGGATCCCTGGTTTAGGTGTTCTCCACTAGCATTCAGAGGCCTGTAAGGTGAATTTGCCTTGCATTGTTGATAGGAAAGATTGCTGAGGCTGCTCTTTTTCTGTGTCCTAATGCTGTAGCTGGTACAGTCTATCTATAGTGGTTAATCCTTTTACCAGAGAATTTTATCCTTTATCCGTGTTCAAGAAAGGGTTGGGAGCTGTCTTGGTTGAAAGACTCTCTAGAAACTTGAGAAGCTGCTTACCCCTTCCTGTGAAGATTTCCACAAGGATAAGGTTGCAGAGGCTCGTCTTCTCCTCCTCTGTGGTAGTATCAGAATTCTACCTTAATCACTTCATCATCCTGCCAACCGATTCTCATTTCTCATACCAGAAAGCTCCCTTCTCCCAAGCTCAGCGTGAACCACCAGTCTTGATGCTTTATCTGGTCCAGGCTCTAGCCCTTAAATTGTCTGTCTGGCTTTGTGTTTCATTTGACCCTAATACATTGGGTCGCACTGTCTAAAAGAGAATTATGTCCCCTCCAATGTCTGAGTGCATTTCTCATTTTTTACTGCTGCTCCTGAGCAGATCTGTAACTTCAAGGTTAAGATAAGACACATTCCATCAGAACTATGTCGTCATCCTTGCCAGCTTCTGATCTGTGACTGTCCAGGAGATTTACAAGACAATTGCATGCCATTCTTTAAAGAATATTATGGTTGGACTCTGACTCCTGGCATCAGGCCCAATTCTATTTGTCAGCTGTTAGAAAACCCAAAAGAGAAAGGGACCTCAGCCCGTATGTCCTTTAGGGAGTTCTTAAGAATGAGAAGAAGAGAATAGACTTGAACCTTAATTTCAGGATGTTTTAGGGGGAAGAGTGGACACTAGAATATTTAGTATGGTTATTCGTTGAATTCACTCTTTTTTTGTGATCAGACACTGGTCTCGTGATGCTAAGTATGCACTCTGCAGTAGAGCTATATCCCCAGCATGAATTCTTTTCTTTTTCTGAAAGGTTTCACCAAAATATGTTTTTCCTGTCTTTTATTCCTTCACAGAATTACTGTCTTTTCATTCTGCTATCTCCCACATTTTGTGAGTTTTAAGATGTAGGAATGAGTACTTGACCCTTGAGAGAACATACCTATTCTTCTCTGAAGTTTTATTACTTTTCCAGTGCCTTTACAGAGGTACTGTTCCTCGCTTTTCTTACTGTCTGCTAACATGTTGAACCGCAGGAGTTACTGCATGTGGTATGGTTTATGGGCTTAGGAATTTGGAAGGTCACATATTTCCTTCTGCTGTTGTATTGGACCCTAACTTATTTTTACAAAAGGTTCTTTTTGGAGGACATAATAGCTCTTTGATTTCAACATAAACTCACCCTTTCCCTAGGAGGTAGGAAGTGGGGATTTATTTGGCCTGTTTTAATGATACTAGGGTTAGATCTAAAATTTATTTATTCATGATCACACATGGCAAATTAATGAAAAATCAGGACACTATTTTAATTTCTGTGGCATTGTTTTTAGATTCCTTAGTTAAGAAAAGTAAGAAGAGTTGAAAAAGGCAATTTTTACTCAGAGGTTTCCTGATGGGTCCTTTCAATTTTGAGGAAATCCCCTATAATTAAAAATTTTGACTTTTCTGACCTGTAATAGCTGTTTTCTGTCTGACAACCAAATAATCACCTTTATTTGTCTGCTATTATTCAGTCAGATTCTTTTATTTTAATACCAAGGGGTCTCACACACTGAGCTACATCCCCAGCCCTTTTTAATTTTCTTATTTGAGACAGGGTCTCACAAAGTTCCTGAAGCTGCCTCAAACTGACAATCATTCCGCCTCAGCCTCCTGCTGCTGGAATTGGAGGCTTGTGCTACCCAGCCCAACAGATTCTTTGCTTTTGATTGTTCCTTTTCCTTCTATCCCATGGCAGCAGTCTCTGGCTGTGAAGTTCCCACATAAGAGCTGGGAATGGTGGTGCGCATCTTTAACCCCAGCTATTTTGGAGACTGAGGCAGGAGAATGGCAAGTTCAGGGCCCACCTTTGCAATTTACTCATACCTTGCCTCAAAATTTTGAAAAATATTTAAAAAACTAAAGGGGCTAGGGATGTAGTTTAGTGGTAGCATGCCTCTGGATTTAATCCCCAGTATCATAAAAAACAAAGTTCCCATATAGGACTGCTGTTGTAGCTCAGTGGTAGAGTGTGCTTAGAATGCACCAGACCTTAACACTATAAAAGGTAAAATAAGATAAAGTTCCTGTATGTAAAGCAGAGTAGGATTTGGGAGCTCTAAAATGTTTGTTTAAGGGCTGGCGCTGGGGCTCAGCGGTAGCACACTTGCCTGGCATGTGTGAGACACTGGATTCCATTCTCAGGATTCCATTCCATTCTTATTTTATTTATAAATAAATAAAATAAAGGTCTATCAACAACTTTAAAAAATATATTTAAAAAAATAAGATAATTAAAAGCAAAATTTATGGCATTTAGTCTCTTTTCTTCATCCCAGTTCTCCTTTTCTCAAGTATTAGGGATTGTTGACATAGGGAATGATGTATTAATAATGTTTATCAGATGGATAATAATTACTAAAAGATCCATTTCATAACAACATTGCAAGAATGACCAGGACATGGTGATGCAGGTCTGTAATCCCAGCAGCTCTTGAGGCCTAGGGAGGAGAATTGGATTGCCAGTTCAGAGCCAACCTCAGCTAAATGAGGTAGTGAGTCCCTGTCTCAAAATAAAAAAAAAAGAAAAGGGCTAGTGATGTGGCTCAGTGGTTAAGCACCCCTGGGTTCAATCCCTGGTACCAAAAAAAAAAAAAAAGAGTGAGAGGGCTGGGGATACAGCTCAGCTGGTGGAGCGCTTGTTGTCTCGCATGCACAAGGCTGTGGGTTCAATGGGTTCAATCCTCAGCACCACACACACACACACACACACAGAAAGATAAAGAAGCAAGGAGGTTGGAGGATTCTAACTTAAAGGCCTGCCTCAACAATTGAGGGAGACCCTGTCACAAAACAAAGCAGAAGGACTGGGGATGTAACTCAGTGGTAAAGCACCCTTGGGTTTAATCTTCAGTACTAAAACAAAAAATCAAGTGAGAATAAATAGTTCAACAGCCGTGTTTTTGGCTAACCTACTCTCCCTTCCTTTATGTAACTGCTGTATTAGGGATTAATTTTTTCCCTAGCTATAATTTCAGTTGTAAGGTTTTTTTTGGTCAGTATTTCAAGCCTTTGGATTCTAGTTCTGTGTCTAGTGTTCCTCCCAAGAAGGAAGCTCATATGGTATCTTTTTTTTTGGTGGTCCTGGGGATTGAACCCAGCCAGGGTCTTGTGCATTTGAGGCAATTAATCTCCCATCTGAGCTATGTCTCCAGCCCTTATATGGTATCTTTGAAATGCTTCCCCTCCCCCTCTTTCCTCTGATTACCTCCCAAACAATTTTAATAATTGTACTATACACAGGGAGGTTATTTTTTCCCCCCCCTCCAGTGTGGTGCTCAAACATAGGGCCTCACATATGCCAGGCAAACACTTTACCATTGAGCTACAACCCTAGCCCATTAACAGTACCATACAGATGGTGAAAAAGGCCTTGTCTAAAGTGCTTCTGGTGGGTTAGGGTACAGATCTTGTTGTAGAAGGACCTGGCCTTTCCATTCCTCCTTTCAGTGAGCTATAATCTCATTAGATGATCTTAAATTGCTATTGATTAATTCACAGTGCTTTTAGAGTAATAAGCATAAGTTTTGAAATTAAAACGCAAGGACCAATTCCCTTGGTTTCTGAATGCCTTGCCTTGAGGCCAAGGGAGGTACCGTCCAACTTCTCCACCCAGTCATCACCGAAAAGGAAAGTTAAGCCTTTTAACTTTTCCATTTGCCTCTCCCCCTCAGTCTAGTAAGGCTGCCAGTTGCCATGGCAACGGACTGGGACAGCTGCGCAGTGGCGCCCAGGCAGCTGGGTGGGGGCGGGGGCGCTGCCAGCCCGCCAAGCCCCAGACCTAGGAGGGGAGGCCCCTCCTGTTAGCCCAGAGGGAAAGAAAGAACTGGGGCGATCCGGTAGGTAAAGGAGGGAACCCCCATTCATTTTCTACTTTGGGGGCTTCATGAAGGGATAAAGGGAAATTTTCCTTTTCCCTCCCTCAAACTGAAGAACACATATGTAAATCCTTGTTTTTCCTGCTGAGGCAGGGGAGGCCATAGCCACAATGCTTAACTGCATGCATCTAACACGGGGCTGGTTTTTACCCCAGCGCTCTGACCTAAACTGCTCAGCTCCCGGAAATTCCAAGGTGAGTGGGGGTGGGGGTGGGGACTCTCCCTGGAATATGACATTTCCTGTCTCTGGTGAGGTCGGAGGCTGTTTTTATTTAAATAAACCAAAATCAGATCTATTTTCTTGCAGCTTAGGAGTCTCTTCTAAATTCATGGAAAGATATATTTTAAAAACACCTATTTAACATTCTCCCATACTCTTTTCCAGATAAAGTATTTTAATGAAAACTTAGTTTTATTATAGGGCAGTTATGGGTACAGGCAGTTTTTAGGATGTGTATACCTATTGCAGTAAGTTCTAGAATGTGGTTTCCAATAATATTGCAATAATTTCTTAAAATCTAATTTGAAGTGAATTGATGTAACTTTTTATGTTTACTTGACATGAACATAATTCTGACATTAGTGGTCCTTATTCCTGGGAGTGGTTTCCTGGTTAACATGGTAATGTTTAGGAGTGCTGAAAAACATCTTTAAAGATAACAGCAAAATAAAAATGAAGTTCAGCTAAGAAAACAATCCCTGCTACTCTATAATCCAGACTGTAGGCACCATTTAACATGGTTAAGGAAGAATTCTTAAATATGGTTATGGTAACAACAGTGTTGGATTTTAAAAAATTAGAGTCTTTATGGAGCACCCCCTGTTGTGCATATTTCTGGGCTTAACTCAATTTCCATTAGTTTTGCCTTGCTTCAGCTTTCCTTGGGCTTATGAATGGCTCCTCTGTGTTTTGAGGAGGCTTAATGTTGATGCTGAGTCTGGGGCCAGACTTCTTTTTCCTCCTCTTCCTTTGGCCCAGAGTCAACTTCAGTTAAGAGGAGAGGGACCTCCTTAACTATTTGGGTTAGTTGAGCCATGGGAATTACTGAATAATCCAGTGACTAATTTTGAATTTTAGGACTAAAAAGTTTTTCTTCTTCCCTCCCATCCCCAAATGAGCATGCTGAAAAAGGAGGCTTAGTGTGTTTGAGATGTCAGCCTTGCTCTTGTGAGCTGATGGATGCTCTGGAGGTACAAGCTCAATTTGTTTCAAGGAAATGTACTGAGTCACTGAAAATGTGGTGAAAGATGCCTAAGCAAGGCCGTTTTTGTGCTAAGAGACTGGTCAAGATGCCCAGATTAGAGAAAAGTTACATATTGGTGGCTTCTTTTTTCATTTTTATAAAGACTCTATTCACCTTGTAGGGAAATGTTTTCATTCTGTCTTGGTTCATTTAACCAAAGGTTTTCCACATTTTCTCTTTGAGTTCCAGGCTTAAAAACAGTTACAAAAGTAACCAGGAGTTAGATAACTGCCATCTGATAATTTTCATCTCTTTCGACAAAGAGAAAATTGTAGCTGGGGGATTGAGGAATTGATCCATTTTTTAATTAAATTCTTTTTGTTTAAATTAAGTTCTTAAGCTGTCTACATAGAATGATCAGAAACTTTGTTCTCTCTGATTCATCACATTGATAAGAGACAAAGTTTTTAATCCTCACAAAGGTTGTAACCATTTCGTCTTTCCCCTTTGCAGGAACCCGTGGCCTTAGTCCTTCAGGTGGAATAGTGTGCGACATGGGAAAGAAAACCAAGAGGACAGCTGACAGTTCTTCTTCAGAGGATGAGGAGGAATATGTTGTGGAGAAGGTGTTAGACAGGCGTGTGGTTAAGGGGCAAGTGGAGTATCTGCTGAAGTGGAAAGGCTTTTCTGAGTAAGTGCTTTTTTTCAGACTTTAGGACTCTCTAGAGGTAGAGACCATTGGTTTACTCACCCATGAGCCACCATGGTCATTGTCTTTTTCCCCCCACCTTTTTTTACCTCTCTGAAGAATCAGAAGGTACAGAAGTCACTAAGTAGTCTCCCTTCTCATGGAACTGATTTTTTTTCTTTTTAAATTTTCTTTTAGTTGTAGTTGGACACAAACCTTTATTTTATTTATTTATTTTTATGTAGCATCAGGGCCTCACACATGCTAGGAGAGCCACAACCCCAGCCTGGAGCTGATGTTTTGATACAGTTTTTGAGGGGCAGGATAATGGATTGGTTAAGGAGCATAGGCCTTGCGAAACAAAGTTTCCATATTCTTGTTTCACCACTTAAGATGCAAGCTAGATGATCTTGGCTAATTTCCTTATTTCTCTTCAATAAAATTTGGATAAGAAAAAGTACTTGAGAGTTGTTGGGTAGATGTATAGAGTCTGAAACATAAGTTTAGTGTAAGTATAAACTGTTGGTAGTAGCAGTATTTGGCATACAACTAAGATAAAAATATGTACATTATAGCAAAGAAAGAAGTAAGTCATCTAGCCTGAATCAGATCTTAAAAGTGTATCAAGATGAATTATACATCTTATTGAAAGACTTATTTGAGGTCAACATTTTATTTGCAGAAATTTCAAACATAGCCCAGGTGTGGTAGCACATGCCTCTAGTCCCAGCAACTTATTAAGAAACTGAGGCAGAAGGATCACAAGTTCAAGGCCATCCTGGCAATGTAGTAAGACCCTGTCTCAAAATAAGAGATAATTCAAGCATTGTAGGATACCTAGCATCTCTAGCACCCAGAGTGCTATACGTGGGTAGTACACCAATCTGAAGATGCTTTCCATATTTTTAAAGAGTGGTGGTAATACAACTTCCACTAGATAAGAACCACTGAGTTTAGGGGAGACTGAGTGCACCGTGAGGTAGGAATTAAAATAATAACAAAAGATTTTGAGGGAGTTCTTTAGGCCCATCAAATCATAACTAGAAGTACTAAGGTATTTAAAACTATCTCTTTTGAGCTACTGGTGTCTCACCATAGATAAAAAGGAAGAAGATGAAGTTTGGGATAGACAGGTTAAGCACTAATCCTTACTTTGTCATCAATACCTGGGACTCATAAATGACTGGAACAAATTTGGCCCTTTACCCCAGCGTTTGACAACAAAAGTACCTGCCTGAGTGCTAGTGGATATCCTCTGTGGATGCTGAAACTGTGGACAATATTGAATTGTATATAAATGCACTATATGTTTTTTTCTTATATATCTATGACAAAATTTAATTTTTAAGTTAGGCACAGTAAGAGATTACAACTAATGCCGGGTGGGGTGGCACATGCCTATAATCCCAGTGGTTTGGGAGACTGAGGCAGGAGGATCATGAGTTCAAAGCCAGCCTCAACAATAGCGATGCACTAAGCAAGTCAGTGAGACCTTGTCTCTAAATAAAATACAAAATAGGGCTGGGGATATGGCTCAGCGGTTGAGTGGACTCTGAGTTTGATCCCTGGTACTAAAAAAAGAGAGAGAGAGAGAGAGATTAACAGCTAATTAATGATAAAATAGAATAGTTGTAGCAACATACAGCAATAAAAGTTATGTGAATGTGGATTTCCCCCAAATATTTATTGTACTTACCTTTTTTATGATGACATGAGATGATATAGTGCTTGTGATACGATGAAGTCAGGTGAGTAACGTAGGCATTCTAATATAGTGTTAGGCTACTGCATATGGTTATTTGAACATAAGCACTACAAGTACCATGATAGTCTGATAGTGGAGATAACTACTAAGTGACTATTGGGCAGATAGTGTGTGGATACTTTGGTCAAAGGATGATTGACATTCACAGAACAGAGTGAGATAGTGCAACATTTCATCATGTTGCTCAAAACAGCATGCCATTTAAAGTGTATTAATTGTTTATTTCATGGAATTTTCCAGTTAATACTTTTGTATTGCAGTCAACCACAGGTAAATTAAATTGCAGAAAATGAGGGGCTAGGGATATGGCTCAAGTAGTAGGGCGCTTGCCTGGCATGCGTGAGGCACTGGGTTTGATCCTCAGCACCACATAAAAATAAAATAAAAAGATATTCTGTCCACCTAAAGCTAAAAAATAAATATTTTTAAAAATTGCAGAAAATGAAACCATAGTTAAGTGGGAACTAGTGTATGTGCTAAGCAGTGATCAGATTCTACTTCCTCTGTTCTATTTAATTCTCATAAAAACCTTTAGAAGAACTGGGCATGGTGGTGCACACCTGTAATCCCAGGATTTAGGAGGCTGAGGCAGGAAGATCACAATTTTGAGGCCAGCTTTGGCAACTTCATGATAACCGTGTCTTAAAAAATAAAAAGTTGGGGATGTAGCTCAGTGGTAGGTTGCCCTTGGGGTCAACTTATAGTAAAACAAACACACACACACACACACAAGCCTTTAGAGGTATTTTCAGTTTCCAGACGAGGAAATTAGTGAAGCTGTTTCCTAAAGATCACATAACCTATGATAGTGGAACAAAAATCCAGTATCAAGATTTTTTGCTGGGGCAGGGGGGGCGGGGCGCTGAGGTTGTGGCTCAGTGGTAGAGCACTCAGAGGACCTGGGTTCAATCCTCAGAACCACATAAAAAAAAAATAAATAAATAAAAATAAAAATAAATAAATAAACAAAATAAAGGTATTGTGTGCAACTAAAAAATAAATATATTTTTAAAAAGATTTCTTTGGGGGGCTGGGGATGTTGCTCAAGCAGTAGCGCGCTCGCCTGCCATGCGTGCGGCCCGGGTTCGATCCTCAGCACCACATACAAAGATGTTGTGTCCGCCGAAAACTAAAAAATAAATATTAAAAAAAAAAAAAAAAGATTTCTTTGGTTCTAAAATCCTTTGTAAATTATATTGTGCTTTCTTTTGGGTGAAAATTGTTAAAATAGAAGCAGCAGTGCCAAAATGGTAAGAAAGAGATAATCCCATCATAGGTCAGGCTTTTTTGCTATCGGCAGACTCTTTCCCACCCCCAAGTCTACTTCTTGTGTTAGTGTTGGTGTGACTTTTGATTTTGGTGCCTTAATTTCCTATGGAATAATAAACTATATGGTTTCTGGGTTTGGGAGAAGAGTTGTGTGAATGATTTTTTTGTTGTTGAGAATATGAAAATATTTTTGAATGACTAGTGACAGTAGACTTGTCCATTTGAATTAATATAATCCAAATCCTACTTCTTTGTCTTTATTGTGGTGATTTAGTATAGTACTGTATTGCCCTTTTTTTTTCTTTTTTTGGTACTAGGGACTGAATCCAGGGGCGCTTTAGTGGTGAGCTAAGTCCTTAGCTTTTTTTTTTTTTTGAGACAGGGTTTCACTGAGTTGCTTAGGGCCTCACTAAGTCGCTGAGGCTGGCCTTGAATTTGTAATCTTCCTGCCTCCGCCTCCTGAGATGCTGGGATTCTAGCCATGCAGCACTACACCCAACTTCATTGCCTTTTTCTATGTAACTATTTAAGTCCTCCAATACTTAAACTTTTTCCCAAAATATGAGTAACATTTAGGACAATGAAAACTGGAGGTGAGGGGCTGGGGTTGTGGCTTAGTAGTAGAGCGCTTGCCTTGCATGTGTGAAGCCCTGGGTTTGATCCCCAGCACCACGTAAAAATAAATAAAGGTATCATGTCCATCTACAACTAAAAAAATTTTTTTAAAAACTGGAGGTGAATGATTATTAGGTTGCCCTTTTTTTTTTTAAGAGTTGTACATATGAAATATGATATGTCAAGAGCTTTATAATGTTTTGAACAACCAATAAAAAAAATTAAAAAAAAAAAAAAAGAGTTGTACAAATGGTTGATTATATTGTTAAATCATATTTCTTGCTTAATAAGGCATAATTCAAGTTTCAAAAAGTTTTTTAAAATATTTTTGTTATAGGTGGACACAATGTCTTTATTTTACTTTATGTGGTGCTGAGGATTGAACCCAGTGCCTCATGCATGCTAGGTGAGCTCTCTACCTCTGAGCCACAACCCCAGCCCTCAAAAAGAATTTTTAACATGGTACTACAAGGAATTGAACTCAGGGCCTCATACATGCTAGGCAAGCACTCTACCACTGAGTTATAACCTTCTGCCCTAAATTTGAACTGTTGAACAGCTTTACTGAAGTGTAATCTACATAGTATAAAATTCACTCGCTGAAATTATACAATTCAGTAATTTCTCATAAATTTGTAGAGTGGTGCCGTTATTACTATTACTACACTCCAATTTCAGAATTTATATGCCTCCATCCCCCAGAATTCCATTCAACCCATTTGTAGTTAATGCCAACTCCCATCTTCAACCTCAGGCAACCACTAATCTACTTTCCATCTCTTTCACTTAGTTTAATGTTTTTAGGTTCTTTGAAGTTGTAGCATATGTTAGTATTTGTTTCTTTTTGTTGCTGAATAGTATTATCTTGTATGAATATATCAGTTTGTCCAGTTGAAGGATGTTTGTTTTCATTTTTGGCTATTAAAATGCTGCTGTAAATAATTGTGTACAAGTCTTTGTACGGGCATAGTTTTTTCATTTTTCATAGTAGAAATCTAAGATGGATGCCAGGCATGGTGGTGTACACCTGTAATCCCAGTGACCCAGGAGGCTGAGGCAGGAGGATTACAAATTCAAGGCCAGTCTGGGCAATTTAAGGAGACCCTGTCTCAAAATAAAATAAAAGGCTGGAGGTGTAGCTCAGTGGTAAGGTGCTCCTGGGTTTAATCCCAGTACTGCAAAAATAAATAGATTTAAAATTTATAATTTAAAAAATGTGAAACTATGTAGCTCAGTGGTAGAGCATCCCTGGGTTCACTTCCCAGTACTGCCAAAAATTAGTAAATAAGAATGAAATGCTGGGTGTGGTGGCATACACCTGTAAGCTCAGTGGCTGGGGAGATTGAGACAGGAGGATTGCAAATTTAAAACCAACCTCAACAATGTAGCAAGACCCTATCTCAAAAATATTTATATATATATATATATATATATATTTTTTTTTTTTTTTTTTTTTTAAGCTGGGGATGTGGCTCAGTGAGTTCAATCCCTGGTTCAAAAAACAACAAAAAAAGCCTGATTTTTTTGTCCACTCATTTTCCTCTTTTCTCCAATCTTGTTGCCCAGGGAGCACAATACTTGGGAACCAGAGAAAAATTTGGATTGTCCTGAGCTAATTTCTGAGTTTATGAAAAAGTATAAGAAGATGAAGGAGGGTGAGAATAACAAACCCAGGGAGAAGTCAGAAAGTAACAAGAGGAAATCCAATTTTTCAAACAGTGCTGATGATATCAAATCCAAAAAAAAGAGAGAGGTAAGTTTCCTTTCCCTGTTCCCCACTGTGCCACTGTGTTAGCTTTTTGTTGCTGTGACAAATACATGAAGGGAAAAAAAAAACAAAACTTAGAAGAGGAAAGATTTGTTTTGACTCATTGTTTTGGAGCTTTTAGTTCATGGTTGTTGACTCCATTGCTTTGAGTCTGAGGCTAGGCTGGACATCATGGCCAAAGGGAATGGCAAAGCAGAGCTGCTCAATTCATGGCAGCTTAGAAGCAGAGGAGAAAGGGGAAGGGGAGGCCAGGAACCAACAAGGGCATGCCCTGTGACCTACTTCCTCAAAAGCATGCCCCCCTGCCTATAGATTCCACCACCCCCTAGTATCCCGTTCAGCTATCAGTGGATTCATTCTCCCAAAAGCCCCACCTCCTAACATTGCTGCATGGGGACCAAGCCTCGACACATAGTCTTTGGGGAACACTTTGTGTGCAAACCATAGCGTTCACAAACTGTTTTTAACTAAATAGGGGGCCATATTTTAGGTATTTCTGTTCTAAGGATGTACCTAGAACAAAAGCTTTCAGGAGGTTTGTTGGTTAACTGCAGCGCCCCCTTCTGGCTGAGTGGGAAATGTAATTTGTGGTCAATGGATTTGTATTAAAGTGGCAAAATTAAATCTGTAAAACATTTAACTAGTTTGCCTTCTCAGTAAATAGAAGATTTAGTTATTTTAGAGAGGGAGAATCTTTGATGAACTTTTTAAGAATGGAAAAGACCTTTATTTGTTTTAATGATAGTACTTGTTTTCAACCCTTTCTATTTTTTTAATTGAGATGAAATTCACATAATATACTATTAACTGACATTTCTGTTTTCTCTTGATCCTATTATAGTTTCATACTTCACAAAAGAAATTTTAATCTTCCTTTTGAATCTTTTTGTTGTTTATTTGGAAAGTATATTTATGAAATTTTTGTTTGATTCAGTTGCTTTAATCTGTGCTCTTTAGCTCTCAAGTAACTAGCATAAGCACTGTTATTACCTCCTTTTTCACCTGCATGTGTGCACATAAACACACACCACCCTCCAGCTTTTATTCCTTTCATTTATTTCAAGGTTACAAACCTTTTGTGGTGAAGGATATATCACACACTTAAAGTTTAATAAAATAAAAGCATAAGTCCACTTCGGAGTCTTCCAGCATCACTGCCACAAGCACCTCTATTTATCTTTATTCTGCGTGGATACCTATCACTGGCTGCACATTAAAATCACCTGGGGGGCTGCTTTAAAAAATCTCCAGTGCCCAAGATGCACCCCCAGACTAGTTCAAGGAGAATTTCTGTGGTTTGGACCCAGGAATCATGGTTTAGAAAATCTTACACAAGTGATTCCTGGTCTTCATAGGGCAAGATATGGAAAAACAGCTTAAAAAGAAGTGAGCATGAAAGATTGGAAGCTGCAAGTGAAAGGGGACTCACAATTTCTATGTCCTTATTTGTTTCCCCAAATAATTGTTTTGTTTGTTTTGTTTTGTTTTTTGCAACCTTATTTTAAAAACTGCCCTATTTTGGTGAGGTCTGTATATTATTATGATATATTGTAATGATACAGGATTTGAGAATGCTTTCCCTTCTCTAAGGAGGGAGGTCTTGAGTCTCTTCTTTTTTATGAGTCCTTTATATTCTGGCTTTTACTATTTGATTCAGTTTCTGTCTAAATTAAGAGAGCAAAAATAACATAGTATAAAACTTCTAGTTAGGCATTTGTGGCAGGTAGTGAGTATGTCCTCAGTCTAGGGTTTCTGTCCTTTTGCAAAGGAGCAATCTGAGTAATCTGGCTTAGCGCCACTGGCCAATACAGAGTTTCATTCCTAAGCCTGATTCTGAGGCTGCCGACCTTGAAAACAACCCCTACCTGTGCTGTTCACCCGAGGCCCTTGATAGCATTCTGAGCAGTACTGGTGGCTATCAGGTAGGCAGCTGGGAAGATAGGTGATTGTATGTTTTAAAGTATAGAGGAACAGAGGAGGATTGCATTTTTTTTTAACACCATTGCATTAAAAATTGGTTAGTTGGTATTATGCCTGATTTAAAATCACTGTCTCTGATGATTTTAGCATTTACCTCGCCTCAGCTCCTTTTCTCCCACCCCCCTCCCTATGTGGCAAACTGTTTTCAGCCGCCAACTATGATTTACTACCCAGACCATGCGCCAGCTTTCCAGCTGTGAGCAGCTGTGTGCACATCTGGGAACCTCTTCCTCTTAAGCACCCTCAAAAGAGGCTATGTTTTTAAAAGTCAGTATTTCCCCTTGATCCATGCCTGGAATTTCTTTCCTATTTTGGGTTCTGTATCTTTGGGGGCCACCTGAACCCTGCATCTCTTAGAGGAAAGTAAGGTGAATTTTAGATCAAAGAGATCTTATAAAAATTAGACACAAGGGATTTCATTCATTTGGATAGTTTTCCTAAATTTTTTAGTATGCTGCTACTAGATAAGCTTGCATTATCTTCCATGATATAGTTTTTAAAAATTATGTTTTATATAAAATTTTATTTTCTTGCTCTCCACCTGGATAAGACCCTGTCTAGATAATGATTACATTTAAACCAAGTTTCAGCACTTCTCTTGTGACTTATCGACTAGTTAGTTAGTTCATAATCACAGTCCAGTTTTACCTTCACTAACAGCTCATTCACATTGGAGGGGATAGGCAGACCAGGGTCTTCTCTCCAACCAAGTGCGTGGTTATTAGAGTTTGTGATCTTTGAAACTGTTTTGTGTCATCAGCCTCGTATCATTTTTACCTCTGTTCTTTTATAACATAGATGACTATGTGAAAATAAAAATTTAAATTATTGTTCAGTGTTAAGGGTAAGGGCTGGGGATGTGGCTCAAACGGTAGTGCACTTGCCTGGCATGTGTGCGGCCCGGGTTCATCCTCAGCACCACATACAAACAAAGATGTTGTGTCCGCCGAAAACTTAAAAAAGAAAAAAAAAAAAAAGAGTTGAGAGAGATGGTATATTTGAAGTTTTTAAGGTGAGAAAAGGTTTAGGTAGAGTAAACATGAACTTGCTTGTCATCTCAGAAACTATAGGACAGGGGCAGCTGCCTAGAATACTAGAGAGATTCAGAGTGAGTAGGAGGATTAGAGGAATTTCTAAATAGTGACTTCAGAACATCTCATGGGACCTTAAAGACTTGTAAGGGTCACTCTGAATCTTTTCAAGGGAATACAAGGAAGGACAATTGCATCTTCTTGCAAAAGGAAAAAAAAAATCTCTTGGCATCATAGTTGTCACCGACTTAACCTAGTTATTATATTTCTTAAATCCTAAGAATTTTTTTGAATCAGTGACAGAAGTGGTATCACATGATATTAACCCAGATTGAGCTTGTTGTGCTGAGAAACAGAAATTTTTTTTTACTCTTTCTCCAAGCTGTAAGTAACCTTTCTTTATCTTCTATTTATAGCAGAGCAATGATATTGCTCGGGGCTTTGAGAGAGGACTGGAACCAGAAAAGATCATTGGGGCAACAGATTCCTGTGGTGATTTAATGTTCCTAATGAAATGGTGAGAGAGATTGGGCTCCACTTCATGATTGTGTTTCTTTGAATTTGTATGGAAGATAGAGTGACAAGACTGAGAATTCCCAAACTAAGAATTTTGAATTTCAGAGATCCAAATCCTATGCCCGCTATCTGGCATTAAATGGGAATTGTGATTCACATGTATTTATGACATTCTCAAGCTTCATTATGAAACCAAATTATGTTATAGTAGCCCATATATCAGAAAAAAGTAGAAAGCATAAACTATCTGTTTATATAGTTCTGAATTATTTACTATAAGATCATGAGCCTGTGACAATAAGAGTTGAATTAGACTTTCTACCATTCCTGAGGGCTAAGACCACTGAATGATCAAAAAGAGAAAAATAACCTCAACGAAAAATATTAAGGCTAATACTGACCAAAGCAAAGGTTACTTTGGCCAGTAGAGAAAGTGGCTCTTGAAGTAAAGTGCAGTACTTTTTTCAGTTTGTTGTATCTATTTATTTCTAGGGATTGAATCCAGGGGCACTTTGCCACTGAGCTACATCCCCAGTTCTTTTTATTTTTTGAGACAGATTACATTTGCTAAGTTGCTGAGGCTGCCTTGAACTTCAGATCTTCCTGTTTTTAGCCTCCTGAGTCATTGGGATTCCAGGTGTGCATCAATGTGCCCAGCTCAATTTGGGTTCTTAAAGGTGGGGTGATTAACCAAGATAGTCCCAGCCACTTGGAAGCTCAGGCAGGAAGATTGCAAGTTCAAGGCCAGCCTGGGCAATTAGCAAGACCCTGTCTAACAAAATAAAAAGGGGGCTGGGTGCAGAGATGCACACCTATAATCCCAGTGACTCAGGAGGCTGAAGCAGGAGGATCAAAGTTCAAAGCCAGCCTCAGCAGCTTAGTGAGGCCCTAAACAACTTAGACCCTTCTCGGTGTACAAAATGAAAAGAGCTAGGGATGTTTCTCAGTGGTTATATACCACTGGGTTTAATCCCTGGTACCAAAAAGTAATATAACATAAAACATAAAATTGGGGATAGTGGTCCAGCTCACTAGTAGAGCACAATTTATTTTTAACTTTTTGGTTGTAGTTGATACTGGAAATTGAACTAGGGGTACATCTAATCTCTGAACTATATCCCCAATTCTTTTTTCTTTTTATTTTGAGACAAGATTTCACTGAGTTGCTGAGGTTGGCCTTGAACTTGAAATTCTCCTACCTCAGTGTCTTGAGTCACTGGAATTATAGGTGTGCCCACCTGCATTCACATATTTAACTAGTTTTTTCTACCATAGTCCAAAATTAAGTATCTGCTCTAAGCTATGCATTTTCTATTTCCTCTCATCCATAATACTTACCTCTGTGAATTAAATGCTCAAATTTCTAGAAAAGAAAGTATAGCTATATTTGTCCACATCTCAGGAGAATTTAAAATTTTTTTTGATTAATTACAAATAATTGTGTTGCTAAGATAATTTTGTTTTTACTTGGTAATGGGGCTATGTGACTTGGGTAATAGGAATTTTCACCAAATTTCCATGTTCTTATTGTTTCAAATCACAGTTCTTGGGCTAGGGATGTGGCTCAGTAGTAGAGCATCTGCCTGGCATGCATGAGGTCCTGGGTTTGATCCTGGCATTGGGGGGGGGGATCACAGTTATGACCAAAGGTAATGAGTATTTAAAAGGCCACAAAATGAGGAGGATTAGATCTCTTTGCTTAAAATGATTCAGAAACTAGGTTTACACATATCATAATTATGCTGAGTACATGTTTAATTGTGTTTACTCACATGTTGAGACACACAAATAAAACTTACAAAAGTAGAATAATGTATTATTTATCCTTTCACCCTGAAATAAAGCTGAGGAGGACATCAAGTCAGTTCAGTGCGCATAGTGACATAAAGTCTGTTTGGACAGATTCTCTCCCTCTTACTTCATTTCCTTCTAAGTCTTTTATTCTTCCTTCCAGGAAAGACACAGATGAAGCCGACTTGGTTCTTGCAAAAGAAGCTAATGTGAAATGTCCACAAATTGTGATAGCATTTTATGAAGAGAGACTGACGTGGCATGCATATCCTGAGGATGCGGAAAACAAAGAGAAAGAAACCTCAAAGAGCTAAAGGACGGGTGGTCTCTGTCATTTCTCTTTGTACATAATACATTCGCCTCCCTGCCTTTCCCTTCTGCCCACCCTCTTCTATCCTAAACACATCCATAAAAAAAATGTGCTTATCACTGTGCTCCACAGGAGAAATGTTGGTATTGGTTCTCTTGTAACATAACTGATGGTCTGATTCATGATAAGTGTCTTTCTGTGAAGACCAGGCATTTACATACTGTGTGTAATTCCCATTGCCCTTATCTCTTCCTTCTGCTCCCCTGTGACCTCAAGATAAGTTTTAACTTTTTAATCACCTTAAGAGTCTTGATCTTTTCAGGGTTGGTTGCTTTTTAGATCGGGGGATTTTATTACAATGATGATGAATTTTGGTTTCTTGCTTTGTTTCTTAGAATATGTTGATGACCAGCTGGCCTTTATTTTGACATGTTGGGATGGAAAGAATATTGCCCATCTTTTAAAAAGCTAATAGCAACTGCCTACCTGTTGGGGCTTTCCCAACCTTCTTTAGCTCTACCCAGGAGAATGCAGGGTCCCTGATGTGGTCTTCTTCTGGGCTACCCTCTGTTGTTCATCCTCACCCATCCTCCCAGAATAACTCCGTCCTTTGGAGGACTTGAAATTTTATGTTGAAATTTATCAAGGCCCTCCTTTTAGCCCTAGGATTTTTGGCCTTGTTCTTAGTAATCCCTGATTCTCCTTCTGTAAGTTTGTCATAAAATGACAAGATTATTAACTATGGGACAGGAGGATATGGGGTAGGGGCAAGAAACAGTTGTCTTTATCATGTATTATGTGTACGTATTCTTTCCTTCCATCCCTGATATTTAGACTGTATTTATGTAGGTGTGAGTGATTGCCTGGTGCTTGCTTGTGCCAAGGTGCTAGGCACCCTCCAACCCTGCCAACTTTTGTGGCCTCCCAAAGCATTCCTGTTACCAAAGAGGCTTCAAACCTGACTCTCTCTTCTCAATGGAACTATGTTGCCCTTCCATGTCATTATTTTCAGTGGGGAATTATTGGAGGGGAGCCATTGGCCACAGTATCAATTTTAAATTTTCATTAACAATTATATATATGTTTACTGCTTTTTTTGACTCCTGGATTTGCCAACAGAGTCCACAAAGTATTAATGCTCTTCTCCTTTTCCATCCTCAAATTTTATTTGAATCTTATTTTTTAAAACCCATGTTCATGGAAAACTATCACCTCAGAAAGTGGCAGGTCCTTGCATTAGCATGTCGACACAACCTTTACTCCCTACTCAGCCAAATAGTTCCCTTTTGGTTTCCTCTTGCTTTGCTATTGAGAGATTTTTTTCCTGATCATATCCTTCTGCCTTTGTCCCCCAAACAATGCCCTACTTCCCTTTATCCTTTTCTTGTAATTGAGGGCTAGAGAATCAGGACTAAACATAAGGAAGTAGCAGGGTTTGAGCATCCTTGTCCCAGCCTCAAAGCTGAGGAAATAAGAATAAATGCTTGAAGTAGCCTTAATTCTAGAGTTTGCCAGCCATTGAGGCTGTTTTTGTTGTTGTTTTTGATTTTTAAAACACATAGCTGTCTGGCCAGGAGCATTCAGCCATTGCTAGATTATTCATAGTAATGAGGGGAATGGTGGATTGCTCCAGTCCACAGATGAGCCAAATAATATGCAAATCATATACCCATTCATAGCATTTGTTACATTGCTTCCCTGCTCAGCTGCTGATTGAATTCTATATGCTTGTATAAATTATGTCAAAAATTATACTGCACCGTTGAGAAGACAGCTGTTGCTACAGTGACAGGACAGACTGGAACAATGGAGCTTTTGGTTTAAGTCAGCCAGGAAAATCTTTCTGAATGGTAATGTGATTGGGGGAGAGCTCATAACCCATACCTCATGTGGGTAGGAGTTTTTATCTCCATATTCCTTTGCTCTATGAAGGATTTAAAGGCCGGATCAAGTGGTAGATCATTGACAGTCATTTGTATTTAATCTGATGGGCATCAGCAAGAAAAGAAGGATAGTCAGAAAACAGATTTTTCGTACAAGTAACATAGGATATCAGGGTAGGTAAGAAAAGGGCAAAAGATGTCCAGAGCTCCTGAGGAGGGTATCACCCAGATCACTTTGACTGACTGCTGGAGAAAATGCTAACCTACCTAAGTAACCAGTGCATGCCTCCCAGTGATAGTGGTTATATGAACTGCAATGACCATGTTTTTAAAATCAAATCTAGCACATGGACAAGGAAAACAGCAATATTTGGTACTGAGATTAGTCCTTGAAACCAGGTACACGATGTTTTGCTGTGGCTATAGGTAATGTTGAACACATTTATCAAAGTCTGAATTTCCTTTACCAAAATGACCCTAGTGTCATCTGTTACTCATCACCCCTTTAATTCTCTTCATTTCATCTTTTTCTGTCTTCAGTTTATAGAATCATGGTTTTCTGAGTTACCATCAAAACAACTTTTGTTCTCTCCTTGCTACTCACAGCTGGTTGTGTGGCATGTAGGGAACCAGAGCACCAATACTAATTTCAGCCCTTAGCACAAAGGAAACCAGATGCCTGCCAGTGCCTCCAGCATTTGTTGGTGCTGGGTAGTTGTTCTCTCCATTGGAGAATTGCAGCCTCAAACAAATCTGTTTCATGGAACTTTCTCCTCTCTGAGGAGTTTGTAGCCATGGGTGAAGCACCCCCTTCCCCTTACTGAGGATTGAACCCAGGGGTGCTCACCACTGAGCTACATCCCTAGATCTTTTTATTTTATTTTGAGATAGGGTCTTGCCAAGTTGCCCAGGCTGGCCTCCAACTTGGAATCCTGTCTCAGCCTCCCAGGTAACTGGGATTACAGGTGTGCTGTTGCACCCAGTTTGCAAAGAAAACACTCTTAAATGCGTAGGTCTCAGGTGCTCACGGTATATTTTTCCTGTGTTCAGTTCTCTTTCAAAACATCATTCTAATGCTGAATTTCTTCCAATAATCAGCAGTAAGCGATATCCCTTTCTACAGAGTTTAACAGAGCTTTTTGGAGTAGAGTCTACCAGGGACAGCTTAGCAGGTCTTCTGATTCCCAGGACTGCACAAATGGCTCTCAGGTTAAAGTCCACTACTGGGAAGGTCAGCCTGGAGGGAGGGCAGTGCCCATTTTAAACCTGGAGAGAGCCATATTATTATTTTTTTTTCCTTGTTCAAACGGGCTCTCAGGAACATTTGAACCTGTGGTGCTCCCAGCACTAACAACTCTAGATGGTCCTTGGCTGTCCCCCAACCATATCTGCATACTTTTGGTTGTTGAAGGGTTGGTCCTATTCCCACAACCCAGGCAGTTATTATTCTTAATTCTTTTTATTCCTGTTCTGGAACTACCTGTTGTCTGTTTTCTTTGCATTCAGTCCAAATCACAGGGCACTGGGAAAGGTTTTAGGACTTCGTCTTGAGTTTTTATTGGGCCTGTGCTTTAATCCAGCTCACTAAGGAACAGTGAAGGAGCAGCATTTAGACTGAGGAATCATTGTCTCCAGCACTAGGGTTCAAATTTGAGGGTGTAAAACACTACTTTGTGAGGGTGTGAGAGCCCCATTAGAGCTGAATTGAAAAATCTCAGATGGGCTAAAAAAAAGGATTTATGACCCCATCCCTTTGGTTTAGATTTTTAGAGTCAAAGTTAGGGTTATTTACAGTCTTAACTTACAGTCTAACACAGTATAGACTTGAGGTCTGTACTTTTATAATTGAATCATCAGGCATGTCTGTACCAAGGCAGAGAGGAAAGGTCTGGAGCCACTGTTTGACATTGGCTTCACCCTCTAATGAAGATTATGTTTTCAAAAACAGATGTTGTCCAGCCTTACACACAAAGGCATATGCTCTGAATTGGGTGCCCCAAGTTTTGCATTGAGCTGTCTGAATTTTCGCCATGTTAATGTACATCAACTTTGGTGATTTCATTCAACAAACATTTTTTGGCCTGGGGATACCAAGTTCAAAAAGGGGCCATCCTTCTACACTCAAGAGAATTTTCATATTGGTATGGGATGAACTGATCATTAATAATTTTGTATAGTAAAGATTACAAGTGGGGGCTGGGGTTGTAGCTCAGTGGTAGAGCGCTTGCCTAGCATGTGTGAGGCACTGGGTTCGATTCTCAGCACCACACCAACAACTAATCAAATATTTTTTTAAAAAAAGATAACAAGTGGGTATAAAGTTCTGGTTTAGGGGCAGAGACAGCTGACTGATGTGGTGTAGTTTTGAGCTCTAGAGTAGGAAGGTGACATTAATTAGTTCATATGTGGAAAAGACCTATGGCCTTGGATGAACTGAGCTAATTGGCCATGGAACACAGCAAAATTGTTTTCCAGAAAATAAACAAAGCTGAGTTAAAAATGCTGTCATTATGGAGAGAGAAAACAGATGAGTGGGTATAGAGGACCCCTGATTTGAGTCCCTGGCTTGTCCTCTGCCAAAGTATTCAGTGATGTAGTTAGTTCTTGCTTGTGGAAAGCATCAGCGATGTTACGTATCCAGTTGTTTGTAGATTCTGTAACGCTGTTCTTCATGGACATGTTATCAAAGTTGCTCATGCATATTTCAGTTTCTTATCCCTTTTGGAGGAGTGAACATGAGGTGGGCTTTAAGCTTAAAATGTACTATCTCTTGAGAAGATTTGTTTTAAAAAAAAAAAAAAAAAAAGCTGGGGGCACATCTCTTAATACCTGAGCATATACCTCGGGGTAGTACAGTTTTATTCAAGTATAGCAGGAGAGTGATTTCTCACTTATGTCAATTATGTGGTAACCTTTCCCAAAAATACACATAACCTGGAGTCTCAAATGAGTCTAGGATGAATCCTAACCCAGTTATGAAATAGTGTAATCCTAAGAAATTGTCCATTCTAACTCACATGCTCATAAGAAGAAATTTAGCTCTGACTGGATTAGCAAGAGTAAAAGAGCTTTGGAAGTCAGAATTCCCAGGATTTAGACTAATTACTGGAAAGTTAAGTGTGAAGTTCTTTGGATAGCTTCATAAAAACAATTTGTTTCATTTTGCTTGTGCTGGATTTCTTGAATTTTAATCTACCTCATCTTGTCTTTAGTTACTTCTGTCTGTCATTGCTACTTGAACATCATGTTTGACTGGTTGTTTTCTAAGGTGACATTTTCCTATCTGGTAGTTCCTTTTCTTCTGGTCCTCATTTCACCTAGCATCATCTCACATTGCTTCTCTGTCAAAAGAAATGTTTTAAAATAGTTTAAAGTCTTGTTTTATGGGAAGAAGTGATCCTTCAGTGCGGTTTGTCTCTGAGGTCAGTAAGAGAGGAGTTAAAACAAGGTGGTGGGGGAGGGACAGATCCTGCACTGGAGGCAAAAGCTGACAAGGAAAGAGCCATTAATTAAGACAATTTCAAAGTCAACTGATTGTGATCATTAATGTCATAATAGATCAAAACCTAATTATCACAGTCTAGGTAAGAGCCATCAGTATTAATCGGAAAATCTAATAGGAAACTATTATCAAGAAATTAGGCCAAATTGAATGCAATGAACTTTTTATCTTGTCATTCTCTATTTTGTGTGTGTGATGTCCCTTGGCATTGACAGGTATGACCCTGACAGCTGATCCAAGTCCAAATGGTCAGCTCATTACCTTTTTTTTAAGGAGTGTATTTTGGGGGGGTTGGGGACAGTTAAAACTGAACCCAAACTGTCATTGCTGAAGATCAGTCTTGATCTTGTCATTTGGATTTGTCCACTGTGATCAGCCATCAGTAGAAAAAGTTTATATTTAAAGTCTTCAATGGTTCCTGGAACTATAGTGTCCCTGATGAATATGGTACTGTGTTGATAATTTTTTTAGCTTCTGTTGCATGTAGAAGGTCCTGCTGCACTAGCTGCTGTGAGGGACATGAAAAAAAGCAAGGTATTTGTCTGGAAATTATTTGAGATCACCCGAAATGATAGTTCCTGTGTCAGCATTCTCAAGGCTCAAGTCAGTGTTTTCCAGTTTCTGGTAGCTTTAGGATTTGATTCTAAAACAGGGCTGGCTGGGGTTTGGTACCCTCCTGCCCCCCAACCCCTTGTCCTAGTTTTGGGGTAAGGAACATAATGGTTTCTACCAGAACTCAGAATAAAACCAAAGTGGGTGGGGAATGCATCAAATGTTTTTTTGTCCGTGGGTTTTCTGTTTTGTTTTTTGCCTTTTGCGTTAAAGAGCTATGGTTCTGGCAGGAGGCAAGAATTTTACAAGAGTGTATATGACGAGTTATAGAGGTCACCGTTTATATTCTTAATCTTAAGCTGTTTATGCAGTCCTGGGTTTGAGCTGAGGCAGAGAGGTTGGGAAATGATGCCCTCTGGGTTGGTGGGGAGGGGTGTGCAGCAGCTGGAGGCTGGTTGGTGGTGCTGGGCTTCTGCGCTGTGTGATAAGTAGCCCTAGGAGACTCCATCAAGTCCACCAGTGGGTTAAGGTTTTTCTTGTGCCTACCTGAGAATGGTCTTGTTTCTTTCTGGATTTTAGGAATTTGGGTTATTCAGTACAAAACCTTGAGAAATCATTGTGACTTAGCTCTTCACGTCTTAAGATTTTTTTCCCCCAAAGGAATTCATGTCTTTAGTGTTTAAAATGTAATTTTATTTTCCACTAACATAATTTTCAGAAGCAGATGGTTTCTTTTAGGTTCCTCACATTATACTAGATAAATAATAAACCCTTAGTTAATAATTGTGGGTTGATTGAGCTCATCTCATTTGCAGAGTGAGGTGTACCTATCAACTTCCTTTTGCTCCCAAGTGTACCTGAGAAGTAGAATACTCTTAAGCAGAAGATGAATTGAGTGGATGCTAACTGTGTGTGCCAACCTCTTCAACTGATTTAATAATGGCTGACCTTGGGCAAGTCATTCCTTTCAATGCCTCAGTTCCCCATCTGTCAAATGGGGGTAATAATACTGACCTACCTCACAGGGGTGTTGTGAGGCATTGTGAATCAAAGTTGATAGAATACTTTAGGTTCCTCTGTGGAGGATTTCTTGAGCCGAAGTGTAAGCCTGATGCAGGCTTTTAGTCCTCACTGAGCTGTCTCCAAGTTTGGAACTACTTAGTGACCTCGGCAAACTCTCTGCCCCCTACCCCTCATCAAAGCTGCTAGTTCAGATGTTGACAGTGTTTTCTTGAATGTTGGAGTCTTAATAGTCCAGACTTATTTAGGATGTTATGGGGGGAAGGCACTAGTATCTCCTCTGTCTTGCATTCACAGAGAGGCTTTGGATTAGGGAATCATGAGGGAGGGGTGCTACTGCTTGTTTTTCTTTTCAGGTTGGGAATTAAGATTCCTTTACCTATGGATTTGGAGCCAACAGACTGTTTCCGGAGGGTCTCAGTGGTTTTGACTTCTATCACTTTTAATTCCCCCCAAATGATCCCAGGACTGCTAGGTCACTGTACCCTTACATGCTCCTAAGCCTCCTCCACGTCATAGGAACCAGATGGTTCAATAAATGTTACCACCTCCTCATTCTCCACCAGAAAGAGCTACATTGGAGGGGTTTTTTTCCCCCCAGAAATATGTGTAATGCTTAGAATTGGGCATTGATCCTTAAGACTTACATCTGATTTACTGTATTTAGTATTTGTCATCTCTTTCTCAATGTCCACAATCTGAACCTGACCTTGACCTTTTTTCCCCCTTTGGTTTGAGAAAACCTTGGAAACCATTTCTATTGCCCAGGTATGGGATCAAGAATGTCCTCTTTCCATTTCATTTTAGGGGCTCTGCCAGCTCCTCTTCCCAATAGGGCTGTTTCTCCTTTCCCTTCCTTAGTCCTAAATTGGTAACCCATGAAAAAGCACAATGTCCTGGCTCCTTGCAGTCACATTCCAGTTCTCTGTGTTTTGTGGACTCTGCTCCCGCTGTTCACCCAGTACTGGGGGTACTGGAGGGTTCTGTGGAGTCCTGGAGGATGGAGAGAGCACAGTCTGACATCCTGCCAAGTAGCCAGGAGTTGATTTGCCCATGGCCTGCTGGCCTTCCACCACTTCCCACGGGATGGGATCTAAGAAACTCAAGAGGCTGGGTTCCTTCCAGCACTGCACCATCCTGAGTAGTAAAGTCACACTTTGTAGCCAGATTTCTGAATGGAAATGAGGCATTGAATTCTCTATGGACTTTTTGGTTTGTGGGGGAGTTTTGGTTGTGTTTTTTAGTTTTATTTCAGCCAAACATGTCTGCTTTTGATTTTTTTTTTTTAAAGGATAAGTGATCTATATGTATGTTTGCCTCTTATATGTAAATGTTTAAAAGTAGGCATTTATGTGTTTCCACAACTGACATCTGATTCAGACCTCATTCTCTCCCCCTCTTCCACCCTCTTTTCCCTCTTTTCATACTCTTGTATTGGTTCTAATAAATGGTTGCTTTTCAAATATGGATCTTGAGTGGTAGTTTGAAGATCTGGATCTCACACCCTTTCTTAGTTTGGGCCCTGGAATGTCAGACCATAACCATACATCTCGCTTCCAAAAGAGCAGCGGGACTTTAAGAATAGAGGTGGATGAAGGTTGGGGTGCCTTAGGGTGGAGGGCTGGTTTCCTAAGGGTTGTTGGGTCTCTTAGTTGCTGTCTTTCTACAGCCACAGGGTGGTGCAAACCTGCGGGAATACAAACATGTCCCACTCCCCCAGTCTATTCCCTGAACTGGTTCTGTTTGTGTGCCTTCCTGGTTTCCAGGTTCTTCTTGCTGCTGACAGTTCAGAGAATAAACATGACCCATGGCACTCTATAAAAAGTGAGCACATGGTTGTTAGAACTTAAGAAACGCCACATCAAGTAAACAGTCAATCAGGTTTAAGGATTACAATGTATGTCTTTGTAAATATAACTTTGTATTTTATCTTCCTGATTTTTGACAAATGACCCCAAATAATCTGTCTTCTCTGAGGACTAAATGCTTGGGGGCCAGGAGTGTGATGGAGGACAGTTGGAAGCTGGGTTAGCAGGGGAAGCATATGCTGGAAAATCCAGCATTTATTGGGTAACCGAAGTTTCATGCAACCCTGAAGCTAGTGGAGATAGGCAGAAACTCCCAGAAGAGTGAGAAGTGAGGAAGATGAAACATCCCAGAACCAAGGCACCCTCCCATGGAGATGTGACTCTGAGGCAGAGTCCTTGTTCCTACCAGCTCTTATCTGCAGTTCTCCGGTCCTGTTTTCCTTCCTTGCTGTTGAGTTATAGAGTCTCCCCAGTCTAATCTCGTAAAGTCTTATGAAGACATCTGTAGGTTGGCTGACTTAATGGTCCATGACCCCATAAACATGGGACAGGAGAGCCATTTGGTCCACTTCAGAGCCAGACCCTTCTGGACATTATTTATTTCCTACCTCTGAAGCCTGGGACTGCTTGCCCCCTTCCCCTTCCATCTCTTTCTAGTTCTCGCATCATCATGACGGTTTGTCTCTGCCTCAGGCCCATCAGAAAGTGCGACTCCAGGGTTTTGACACCAGCATTCTCACCCCTAAACAACTGTGGCTTAGTTTTTGCCTCCTCCAGTGTGCCTGCATGGCGCTCGCTCAGATGAGCTCATCTTAGCTCAGAACTCTTCCCCGTAATCTTGCCTGGTGGTCTGCTGGAGAAGTCCAAAACTGGGCAGTTTGGCCTCTCCTTTTGTCTTTCTCAAGGGCTACAGAGCTAGTGAGATCCATGCAGCACCGAGGATCACGTGTGGGGGTCACCGGGCACATACATGCAGCTCTAACACGCCCTGTTAAAGGCAGCAGCCTTCAGGCAGCCTCTGCCCTTTGGAAGGAAGTGTAAGCCAGGGAGAGAGCCTCATTATTTGTGGCCTGCTAGACAGAACCATGCAGAGGGGAGCCCACTACAGTCCATGGACATACCCAGGTGCTACCCAAACCTTGATGTGACCTGTGTCTGTGTGTGTGTGTTGGAGCAGGGGAACGAGCAGAAAAGCCCGGCCCATTGGTGTCTATGGATGTGCCACACAGGCACAGTGGGACTCTTTTCAGGCAGAGGTGGGGTTGAGGGAGAGCTACGGAGTGTGAAAAAACCCTGTGAACTCACTTGGAGTCATGGACAAGCTGAAGACAAATGAAGGGAAGGACTGGTTTTGTGCCCCGTGGCCGTCTTCCTCCCCTCCTTCCTATGGCTCTCCTGCTTTCCCTACCCTCTCTGCAGCTGGAGCATCTTGCATTCCAGGTGCTGGCTCCCTCCTCGCCCAGCTTCTGTCTTTATTTGTGCTGCTGTATTTTTTATGATCTCTCCCCTTTGTCTACTATATTGTGTGTATTTTTCTTGTTCTTCATTTTTTTGTTTTTGTTTGTTTTCTTTTTCTTCTCATTTCTGGTCTCTCCATGTTCTCTCCATCCTTTAAATTCCACAAGCAACCTCAATTTGGGCACTTATTTTCAATCCCATCAAATTAATATCTTTCTTGCAACAGTCTGGGACTCTGAGCTCTTTCTACCCCATGCCACCTCTGGAAACAGGTGCATCCCTTTCTGTATCTAATGTGATGCCCCCTTCCAATCTGGGAGAAGCAGCTGTCTCAACAGCCTCGTGCCTCCTCTCCGCAAAGCCGTTAGATCATTTGGTTTTGAGCCAGGGAGGGAGAAAGAGATGCTGAGAATTGAGCTTGCTGATAAATTTAAATTTGGGGGCTGCTGAGATGAACAGCGTTGGGGTTATTATTGCACCCTTTCCTTTTCTTTCCCTTTCCTGCTGCTGCTGTCTTCTGGAGAAAGAAGCTGGTGGGGAGTTGAGGTATTGGCCACAGCTGCTGCAGTTTATGAAATTCTGCTACATCTGCAGCAAGGGGCGGAGGCAGGGGGAGGTGCACTGGAGCCCTCTCCTCTGCTGATAGCAATGGGATAGGCCATTCCTTTCCTGCTGTTTCCCAAACCATCTGCAGGGACCTGTGCAGCTACCGGGTGCAGTGCAGCCCAGCCCCAACTGCCTCTAACCAGGACACGGATGCTCCATGCTTTCTCTGCCCTTCCAGTTGCTTCCTTCTCCCTGACTTTTTTTTCTTGTTCATTGTCTGTTCTCAGTTGCTGTTTTTTGTTTTGTTTTGTTTTGTTTTTTCCTTTATGTTAGAGAGTGAATAAGGGGGATTGAGGGGCAGAGTGAGAGAGGGAGAGAATAAAGATTGTTTTCCTCCTCTCCTTTGGCGCTGTGGGAGAGGGGGCAGGGAGTTGCCATCTTTCTCTTCCTGGAGATTGGGTCATCTCTCCATCCTCAGCCACCAGAATGAGCAGTGATGTATAAAACAAGGACTCTTACTGGGGATATAGCTCAGTGGAGAGAACATGCCTATATTGCAAGGCCCTGGGTTCAGATCCCAGAACTGCAAAATAAAACTTAACAATCAATTTGGAAACTTTCATAACACTCCGGGGGTGATTGGGGCCATCTGGGGTGTTGCCATAGACTGGACATCACTGAACTTTAGTGTCTAGCTAAACCAGCTGAATCCTTATTTTGTCTGAAACTCCTGTTTCCTTGTAGCATAGGAATAAAAAATTTCCTCCTTGGGGGTCTCCCATTGCCCCATTCATCAGCCTAAGGGATCATGAGCAGGTAGAAGCCATTTTCCTGATTCTCCCTGTCCCAATCTGCTCCAGGTAGATGAAGGCCAGGAACTATGTCTGGGCTTTTGGATCTCATTTCTACCTTTGACTTCTATGCTTTCACTCAAAGCAGAGAAGGAGATTTTTGGTTTGGACTAAGGAGCTGGTTCAGCGACCAGGTTACAAGCATGGAGAAAGGAGGTAGAAAGACAGACACAGGATTGTCCCTGGAAAGAACTAGGAGACTGGAATAAAATATGGGAAACAAGAAGCTTGAGGAGACAGATGATGTGTAGGGGATGTGTGTGTGCCAACACACAGATGCCAGGAGTATGGAAGCTCACACAAGGAGCAGGTGAGGCCCTTGGCCGCTGCGCATCCTCTGCCTCCTGGCGCACCCAGACAAACACAGCCAGCTGGAACTTCCCTTCTGAAGAGCTCTGGGCAATGAATCAACTGAGCATCCACCCTCAAGTGTTCTGAATTAGAAAAGACTGGATGACCTCCCTGGAAATCTGAAAAATATTTGGACTATTTCAGGAGGCTCTTTGGCATCCTGAGGACTTTAATCTCCACCCTAGGGTTGGGAGGATGGAGGGCCTGGAATCCTGAAGTTTCCTTTCCTCAGGCCCCAGTCCTGCTTCAGGTGGTCTCAGGAAGGGAAAGAGAAGAGAGTGTGTCTAAGAAAGGAGGTGAGGCATTGGCAGTACAGTGGCTGCAGATAGGGCCACCTCATCACGAGAGATCTCAGAGCTGGATAACTGCTGCTGCCTCCAGAGAAGAGATGGGCAAACAGCTCCCGTCTTCCCACAGGAAATGGCATGTCTCGGTGTGTGTGAGTTGGAGGGATGGATTAATTTGAATATATATTTGTGCTCATTTGAATATATTAAATCCCTTTAAGTCCAAGTTGTGTCACTTTAATAGAAGGGAAGCAATTGCCTAGATAATTCAAGGCAGTAAATAATTCCCAAATTGTTTACGAATCTGAGTAAAGGTTGCTTGGACTGGATCTTGGGACGACATCAAAAGGTAGGTACCTGTGGGGGTGGCTTCTCTGGGCGAAGAGGAAGAAGTCATTAAAGGAGGTAAAGAAGAAGTTCTTAGATCTGCAGCAGGACAGCTGTACACAACTCAGAAGCAGAAAATGGCAAGCAGAAAATCGAAGAGACAGGTGGAAGAAAGGTGGGAGGCTCAAGCGAGCCTCAGGGGCAGCAAACTATGGGAAAAATAGCGAGCATGTTGGCAGGCCAAGGGCCCAAAGAGCTGTAGAATAAAGTGGGAGCTGAGAGAGGTTAGGAAGCAATGCAAAGTCGCCACTGGCATTTCTCCAGAATTAGCCAGTACACCAGCCCAGACCAGTCCAAGCACTGGGCAAAATCATTAGGTAAGAATTCAAGTCTGGGGCTGAGCATGGATGTGCTCCCCTGTAATCCCAGCAGCTCAAAGGATCACAAGTTCAAAGCCAGCCTTAGCAACTTCGAGGTGTCAAGCAACTCAGTGAGACCCTGTCTCTAAATGAAATACAAAATAGGGCTGGGGATGTGGCCCTGGGTTCAATCCCTGGTGCCAAAGAGGGGGCAGGGAGAATTCCAGTCTGGGGCTGGGGGTGTGGCTCAGTGGAAGGACACATGCTGAGCCTGCACCAGGCCCTGGGTTAGATTCCAGCACCATCCAAAACCAAAACAGAACAGCAAAAAACACAAACTCTGGCTTTGTCATTCTGCAGGCCATAGATCAGTTAAATTAATCCTCCTGTCTGGGTATCAGTTTCCTGAGGGCTTTCTTTTTCATAAAATATTTTAATGTAATCACAACAAAAACCAATAAAAGGAAAAGTTGGAAAAAA